GATTATATCTACAAACACGGACAAGATAGCAAAATAACTTACCTTAGCAACCAAAGCAGGTCCAATATGTTCGTTGACATTTTTGACAGCTTGCAAAACACCTTTACCATGATTGACAGTTTTGTCAATTATTATTATTAATTATTATTAATAATAATTAATTATTATTAACTATAATAATAATAATAATAATAATTATTATTATTATTATTATTTATTATTACTGTTGCTAATATTATCATTACCATTATTATTACTTATTGTTCACCTCTCACTTATCGCTATGAACATAGTCATCCATCATTGCTGTTATTGCTATCTTCTACAGTTCATCATTGATATTATCATTCTTACAATGAACAGTATTTGTAGCAATCATTGAATTTCATAGAAAATGGGACAATTCGTTTTATCAATCTTTCTTTTTTTCATTTATCAATTTCTTTTAATCTTTTCATTACTGTTTTTTATTATATTAGCATTGTTCTATTTTTTGCACTATCATTCAAACTCTTTACATTTCAATATTATCTCCCTCTATTGCACTCATTAACGTCTTTTACATTATCACTTGTTATTATCATCATTATCACTACTATTATTATCATTGATATTTTCGTTGCTCCTATTGTTTTATCAATTGTTCCGTTCTTTTTCTTTCCTGGACAGTTTTATTCTGCAATTAAATTTATTTTAACAACTCATTAAATATTGTTGGATCATCAAGCCATATCAATTCATTAACTTTTATCTCAAATGAAATGGTTAAAATAAAATGGTTTTAATTTTAATTAATTACAATTAATAATGGTAATTTCATAATTATATCTTCTTGTTGAATATCAACAACATTCCCGATCATCTTTTCATCATTAGAAGATATTATTATAAATCATTCCTTAAATTATTTTACTATTGTTTTATCCTATTGTTTTATCATGTGATAGCAAAGAAGTTATTTATTTTGGTCGTTAAATAATTCGGAAAACCTTACATATCTTTTATTTGAAAATTTGTTCAATGTAATATTTTCCGTTAATTAATTTGTTTGTACGATATTATTTTATAATTACGATATTTGCAAATACTATTAATAAATGCTAATATTTTTCTTTCTTTTCATATTAGGGTTATGATATGATTGAAATTTGATGCGAGAAGTGATTTCCATATTATCGCGACTAGTCGCAATTTGTCGCAAGCAATGGTTATCATCATATATTAGCTTGCAATTTATTATTGGTATTTCAATTGGTATCCTACTTGGATTTTATGCTACATTAAATCATGATGATGATGAAATTTCCCTTGGTATTAAGCAATCCATTTCTATCGATCAACGGAAGCAATTTGATTCAATTAATTTAAATACTTCAATTCTATCCGATATTCGAATACAATGCATCATATTCATTCGTCCCAATCAGTTATTTAAACAGAAATATATACAAGCATTACGTGATACTTATACTAAACAATGTAATCATACTGTTTATGTAACAAATTCAAAAGAAATTCGTCGTAACTTTGCAGGTAATTATTATTATTATTATTATTATTATTGTTATTATTATTATCATTATTATTATTACTATTATTATTATTATTATTGTTATTATTATTATTATTATTATTATTACTGTTTCTATTAAGTTGGTTGAATTATTCGTGAGTAATTAGATAAAAATTTCTTGAATTCAAAATCCATTAATAACAGCCATAACAACAAAAAATCATTATATTAATAATCATTGAAACATTAATCGTTATTGTTAATATTAATAATGATTGTTATTGTTATTAATAAATATTATTATTATAAATTATCATTATTATTTAATATAATTGTTATTTTTATCATTGTTACTGTTTCCATTAAGCTGGTTGAATTATTCATGACCAATAATTCCAATGTTCAATAATGTGATTGAAATTTTGGTGTATTAATTTTCGACATATATTTAGATACCTGCAAATTGAAATAATTATTAAAAGTTGGTTTTTGTTTTATTAATTAAACATTTTCTCTTCTCTTTTGTTTTGAATTTATTTGATTATAGAATGTTATAGAAGAACTTAATATTGCATTTATAAATACGAAGAAAACACAATATCATTGGGATTTATATCGTGAAATTATTAAATATTCCATAAACTATAGCAAACAACAGAATTCATATTGGACAATTATTGTTGATGAGCAAACATTTATTGTTATGCCAAATTTACGAAGAATATTGCTAGCTTACAACAATTTACAACAATCTCTTATATTGGGAAGAACATTCAGTAAACGGTTTGTTAACTTTATTTTAAAGTTTTATAAATTAAAATTTATAGATTATCCTTAATATAAACGCATAGATAAATTCGGTATCTATCATTTTCGCACTGCAAATTTATTCATCCTATATATTTTCCCGAGAATTCTCAAAGCAGCAATATATCATCATCCTTTTTCTGCAATCTCTTAAAGTTTTAATTATAAAGAATGATAAATTAACGAAAGAAATGATAGATAGAAATTAAATATAATGATAGTATTATCTTATGTTTCCGTTGATCCTCATTATTTCGAAAATCATTTATGAGTTAGAATTTTCATTTATATTTTACCGATGGATGTCAATTTTAATCGGTCATTTCGTTATGCATTTCTTTAGCACTGATATACAACGGTAATAGCATCATTCTGTTTTTCTAACATTATTTCAATAAATTTTATCAATCTCTGTCGTTTCTTCATACTTTCATAACTCTTATGTCATTTTCAATCTCTACCGCTACAGAAGTGTTTCCTTCATGAATAATTTAATGATTAATAAATTCATTTATTCATTTCTCTCTCTCTCTCTCTCTTGCTCCCTCTCTTCTTTTCATGAAGTAAAACAATATATTCGTTTTCATTTATTATTATCACTATCGATGAGTGTAATTATCATTATCAGAATTATTTATCACTACCTTTTTTGCCTAAACATAAAATATATTGAATATAAGAAACGCAATTATTAAATATCATATTAAATATCAATTTATATATTGATAAAATATTCATAACTTCCGATGCTTAAATTTATCATCACTAATTCATATGTATCATCAATTTTCAACATCATTGTCACTATCACCAATTAGTTATAAGTTTATTATTCGTTGCTCAATAATACAATCATATTTACCACTATCATATTTATTCATTGCATTATCATCTATCACATATTATCACTACCAATTACTATCAATTATGTGATCGTTATAAATTAGCAGTGAATTATTTCTTCATATTATTTGAAAATAAAAATTAAAATTAATCTTTTCTTCATTTCTCTTTTCCAGAAATTTATTTTCATATTTATTTCCATGGAATATTTATAAAACAATTCTACCTGAAGCTGGCATTGTTTTTTCTCGTACAGCTTTGGAGCATATGACGAATGATACATGTTTTGGATGGTTTTCACCTCGTGGTACAGAACGAGCATTGATACAATGTTGTAGTTTAATGAATGTACAACTTATTGATCCAATTGATAAGGTTAATAATAAGGTTATTAATATTAATGATAATAAGATAAGATAATAAGATAATTGACATGATAATAACATTGGGCTATTATCATTTTATATCATTGCTTTAGAATGAAAATACAATGAATTCATAATTCACTGATCTAACTGATAAGATATTATATATTTATTTGCGTTTGTACCTTAAGCAATTATCCGTTCGTAATATTATTGCTACAGAATAGAAGCTTAATGAATATATAACTTATTGATCCAACTGATAAGCTATTATCAGGCTTTATCAGCTTAATACAACAATTTTTTGAAAAAGAAATTCTGAAATAAAGCTTTAACACATTACAGGAAGGAAAGCGTTTATTTATTCCAATTGGTTTACAGGAATTAATTGCAGGCAGTAATTCCGATTTTTCAAAAAATACGGTATCCATTGTTTTCTTTTGTTTTTTCCAATTAATTAGAAAAACTTAATTGAGCATTTTATTTAGTAATTTTTAGGTATTCCAATTTAAGAATTACATTAATTCATTGATACTTAAAATGTTTTCAAATTTCAATCCTTATTTATGTAACATATAAATAGGCATAGTTATTTCCATTCCTTAATTACTAAGCTAATAAATATTATTTTGTATTATTTTGTTATAATATCTAATTAGAAATAATATCTAATTAGTGATTATTTACCGTTTGACAATATCAAAAATATTCCATTTCATTTTAGAATAAATTTTTCTATTGGTATAGCGATGAAGCCGTATCATTCGGTAATTTAAATTATAGTGATCATCGAGTTTTGGATTTTGCAACTACAACAATCAAAGTGTTTGGCTATTAAATATTTTAATTTAAATTACTCCATTGTTCTCATATTTTAATTTAAATTGCTCCATTGTTCTTATATCTAATTGCATTTACGTTCTCATATCTAATTGCATTTACTGTCAATAAATTATTCATAATTATTCATAATTTATTTAATACTGGACAATGTTAACCAATGATTAATGCTGGACATTGTTAACCAATGATTAATGCTGGACATTGTTAACCAATGATTAATGCTGGACATTGTTAACCAATGATTAATGCCAAAAAGTTTTCGTTTAATAATATGATTGTAATTAATTTGATAATTGAAATGATTATGAATAATTTGAAGAAAGAATATAAATTTATAAAATAATCAATTTGTTCAGCACAGTAATAATTAACATATAATTTTTTTAATATTTCCAATGTATTCAATTCCTCAAAAATTATTTGCATAATATTAATAATCCACTTATTGAATACGTTTTCCTCAATCTCTCCGTTCCGTTTTTCCTTCTTCCAAAAAAATGGAAAAACATAATATATACATAATGAACCGGAATATATTTAAAGTAAGCAAAAAGATTCTAATAGAAAATTGATTTGTCGAATCTGATACATAATTTTGTTCAAAGAAACAAAAAATGTAAAAATATATAATGAATCGGAATATTTCCTGAATTAAAAGAATCAAAATATCTATCAGATTTATCATATTTATCAGACATTTGAAACGGAATATTTTCTGAATTAAAAGGATCAAAATATTTATCAGATTATTTATCAGATTTATCATAATTGTCAGATATTTATCAATATTTATCACAAATCGATTTTCTATCAAAATCATCTTGTTTCTTTGAGTAAAGATTAGCAATATTTTGTCCTTATCTTTTTCACAAAATATTTCCGAACTTAATTAATTATCGATTTTAATCATTAATCAATTGTTTTATCACTATTATCATATCTCACCCATCATATTGCAATTTCATTCGTTTTTTTCCCGATTCATTCATCCAACTCTTTTAGCTTATTTGTTTCGTTTTTTATAATCATTATCAAGATCATGATTATTAAATTTTTATTAAGTTGGCATGTCTGTCATACTTCTACAACCTTAACTCATTTTTCATTCATTTACTCCTTTCTTCATAACTTTAAGGTCATAACCTTCATTATGACCTTAAAGCCTTTTTATCAAATTTATCAAGTGAGATTGAGTGAAATTGTGAGATTGACCCCTTTTTAATTATTATCTTTTAATACATCTCATACTTCTACAACCTTAACTCATTTTTCATTCATTTCCTCTTCATAACTTTCACGACTTTTACTATGACCTTAAAGCCTTTTTATCAAATTTATCAAGTGTGATTGAGTGAAATTGTGAGATTGACCCCTTTTTGACTATTATCTTTTAATATATCTCAAAGAACAAAAATAGAAAAACAAGTTAATTAAATTGTTTTTCATTTAAAAACGAGCTAAATTTTAATTACACTATTGCTTTTTCCCTTCCACCGTAAACTAATTGAAGAAATAATAGTTAATAAATAACAATTCGAACAAATTATATAACTTATTACTGAAATGGATCAAAAATTGTTCATTTCAGGTTTTTTAGGGTAACCATTTTCAATTACTATGCAAACAATAATTTCCTTAGTTTGATTATTGTTTATTTAAATAATTATTAAATGCCGGAAAATAACAAATATGTTTTATAAATAGAATGTTAATTTAATTTACTGCAATGTAATAAATATCGTTTAAAATTATTTTTATTAATATATTTATTGTTTGAAAATAATTTCAGTATTCACTTTCTTCTTCTTCATCATCACTTAGTGCTTCCGAATCTTTACTTACCTGTAAATCAAATTTCTATTACTACTGAATTATATTAAGAATTTCAAAATTGCAAACTTATAAATAACAAATTTCTATCACTGTTGGGTTACTTAAGTGCTTTAAAATTGCAAACCTATAAATAACAAATTACTATAACTGAACTATATAGGTATTTTAAAATTGCAAACCTATAAATAACAAATTTCTATTACTGAATTATATAGGTATTTCAGAATTGCAAACCTATAAATAACAAATTTCTATTACTACTGAATTATATTAGTATTTCAAAATTGCGAAATTCAATGTTCAATAATATCTCAAATAAATAAATGAATAAAATGGAATATGAAGAATTATCAGTCATGAAATTTTTAACTGAACATATCATTGTTATCAATAGGTAACATATCAAATCCAATTATTTATCAATCAATTTTATAATTTAACTTTTTATAATTAACTCATACTTATTAATTTTCACTTCATAAAATTATAGTTTTTTAATTTGTTTGTTTTCTTGAAAGACAAAACATGGATTATATAAATGCTTGAATTAAATTATCATTATTTTAAATAATCTTTACCTCATCATAATCTCTTTCTAATGCAGCTAAATCATCACGTGCTTCCGTAAATTCACCTTCTTCCATACCTTCACCAACATACCAATGTACAAATGCTCGTTTCGAATACATCAAATCAAATTTATGATCCAAGCGTGCCCATGCTTCAGCAATTGCGGTTGTATTTGATAACATACAAACAGCTCGATGTACCTTATATGGGAAATTTTAATTTCTTTAACCTATTCAATTTTAAATTTAATATGATAATTAATAAAACTTCAAATTAAAATTTTTAACTAATTAATTTTTGCACATAATTTAATTAACCTTTGCTAAATCGCCACCATGAACAACAGTAGGTGGTTGATAATTAATGCCAACTTTAAATCCTGTCGGACACCTATAATGAATAGTTAATGAATCTGAAAAAAAAATTACACGTAGCAAAATTAGCATAATTAGAAAATTTTTAATTTGTTTTAAAAAAAAATTTGAATAAATTGCAAAACAAAGAACGAAAGAAAATACCAATCAACAAATTGAATTCCACGTTTTGTTTTAACCATTGAAATTGCAGCATTTACATCTTTTGGTACGACATCACCGCGATACAGTAAACATACAGCCTATAGTATAAAAATAAATTATTGTTATTTTTAATTAATTGATTAATTATAGCTAAGAAGCTTTTGGTCTTTTCAATTAAAATTTTTTCAAACAATTAGATTAACAAACTTCATTTGTTAAACTTTTTTCGATTAAACGATCCAAAGATATTATTAAAGATTGAGTCATTATAAAACAAATATGCATTCAAAAGTACACGTCAGTCTGTTTGAGATTGTCTTTGTTACCGTAACTTCAAATCATTACTAAAATGAGATGAAGGATAAAGTGGCTTTAAAGATGGCAAAGA